ACTTTTTATATCACAGAAGTTATCCAATTATTTTCGTCGATCATCAGGTGAAGCGATACTTTTTTCAAGGGACTGTAGATCATCGATTAGATTTTTTGGATGTCTTTTAGATGATCTGTACTATGGTCACATTCATTATTGAGGATGTATGTATGTGACCTGTTACAATTTTAACCCAGTGTCTCATATGAGCCAATTGGTTCTTCAAGTGTGTAAATAACGACTATTACTATACAGTAACACGATTATTAACAAACATAATTAATATAAATAAAATAGGTATTATAATTTAAATTATTTTAGGAAAAATTTTTATTTTTTTTGTTTATAAGACTTAAAAAAAAATGATTTCATCAGAACAAGCTCATTCACCAACTTCACCAATTCCTAAAATTAATATTAAACTTGCTGATAACAATACCAATAAAAATAATAATAAAAACAATAACAATATGAATAAAAGGTCCACATCAAGATCTAGGAGTCCAGGTCCACGACCAAAAAGTCCTTCAGGTGATAACTACAAAATGAATAACAATAACAACAACAATAATAACAACAACAAACTCATGACTTCACCAAAAAGGACCACCTCAAGATCCAGAAGTCCAAGACCAAAAAGTCCTGGTAGTAAAGACGCGGCCTCCTCACCACGATCAAAAAGCCCATTTAGCAAACAGCATAATAGAGCTGATAGTGATAACACACCAGCAAACTTCTCATCACAAGATGTACGTCAAAATTTAAAGTCGCTAAATCCTTGGCTTGGACTTGTTACTTCAAGTTCTGGCGGTGGTTCTAAAAACCAGAATAGATTAAGTTTGCCACCAGATTTTGATTTAAATCATGTAATACGTGAAAGTAACGAACGTTGGGCAAAACTAAATCTCATACCCATGGAACCGAAAGACAACAGCATGGGCAATTTTTCAAAGACTACAAGTCTTAGAGTCGCACCTATCACCATGCGACCTAAACTTGCAGTAGAAACATTCAACAACATTCCTGGTAGTAAATCGATGCAACGGACCGCTTCTGGACCTTACAATGGAAATAATAACAATTCACCATTGTTGACTGCTGATGGGTTCCCGTTGATACGATCAAGAAGTTACAATTCTGCCGTTGAAGATGTCAATCGATCATCACCTGCTTTCGCCAAAGAAATACTGCCTCTCCAACATTCCTGGTTAGTAATGTTAATTAATATATAATGTGGTTGTGTTGTTTGTGAATGTACATTCTGTTTACTTACCTCATTATATAAAACTGTTGATAATTAATTAGGACGATGTATTACGATAGTAAACCTGTTATGACACCTGGACCAAAAACTCCAACAGGAAAAGTTTCATATGAAGAAAATTTACAAACGATAGGAGCCTTTAATAATGTACGCTATCTTTTATTCTTTCTTCCGGATAGGAAATAAAATAATTGGGATTTTTCACAATACTTATTATACTATTCTTTTCGTTTATTCATTCATTAATTAATTAGGTACAATTATTTTGTCGTTATTTTAATTGGGTAAAGAAACCTAGTAAGTTGGCAATGAACACCAACTTCCACATATTTAAAAATAAGATTAAACCAATGTGGGAAGATCCAGCTAATGCTAATGTGAGTTTTATGATATTAATTTAATTCAAGAATAAATAAATAAAAATATAGCAAAAAAAAAATTTATCGAACAATTTACTAATAATATTTATCTAGGGCGGTAAATGGGTAATCTCAATAAAAAATCCTCAATTACTTGATCGTTGTTGGACATGGCTTGTTTATGCGCTTGTTGGAGAAGACTTGGATGAAGCCGATGATATTTGTGGAGCAGGTACATTTATCATTAATTAATGAAGCTGAAATTTGATTGTTTTTAAAGACAAGTTTTAATAATAATTTTTAAATGCTTTCTTTAGTGATGTCACGCAGAACTAGGGGGGATAGAATTGCTGTATGGGTTAGAGATAAAGATAATGTTCCTGTCATTAATGGCATTGGGTAAACATATATAAAATTGGTTCATCTATTTTTCATTTTATTTTATTGATTAATTAATTAATAATTTTTTAATAATAGTAAGAGATTGTTGAAGCTTCTTGATTTACAGAATGAAAAAGGAATAGTAATGGACTTTCAAGTAAACTTCATTTGTTATATATTGCTTGATTTATTTGTTAATTGACCATGACGATGATGACAAATTACATAAAATTTACATACTTTTATTTTAATTGTAAATAGTTTAATGAAGATGCTTTAAAATCAGGAACGTCATATAATAACCATGCGTACTTATCGCTGGAAAATCTTAAGCAAGAATTGGAAGCTGCAGAAAAATTAAAAGAAAATAGTAATAATACCTCAGAAGATAATATTAAGAAGAGTGAAAATGGTGAGAGTAGCACGATTGATGGAATTGCTAGTAATAATGATAAAGGAGAGATTGATAGTGATAATGATAAAGGAGATATCCGTAATAATAAGGATAAAGGAGAGATTAGTAGCAATAATGATAGAGGAGGGATTAGTAGTAATAATGAAAATGATATCATTAACGATACAATCAATGCTACAAATACCAGTAGTAGTAGTAATACAACCAATTCTATTAGTAACAATAATAATACTGTTGCTGATGATAATTATAGTGAGACAGCTACAAGTGATAAAAATAATAATATAAATGATAAGATCGGTGATGATAAACCAAAAGAGCCAACAAGTTAAACAATAAAAATGACAATATATTCACACACATAACTGTATTAACCACATATAAATTTTTTTTGTATTTATTTTCTTTTCTCATAATTCCAAAAAAAAAAAAATATACATTTTTTAGCATATTTTCACTCGTATAGATTTTTTTTATGTTAATTGTTATTATTATTAATTAATTTAAAATATTTAATTAAATTTTTTTTCTTCATTCAAATAAAATATTTGATTTTTTCAATGTATCACAACGTTGTCTTACCTTTAATATTTTTAATAATTTATTTTGTGCTGATATTTTTGAAGAAAAAAAAAATAAAAAATATAAATAAATAAATAAATATATATATATACTACAATAAAAGTATATAAATTATATAGAAAAGAATAATACAATATAATAATAATCATCAGAACCATTTTGAAGTCAATTTTGGTGGTTAAAATAGCATTATAAAATAAGAAATTTTATTTTATGTGTGTAATATTATTCCCTTTCTCAGTTTTTAATCGTTATAACAAATTCTAAACTAATTTATTTTTATTTTTTTATAATAGTTTTCGGATTTTATAAGCATAATTCTTCCAAAAAAATTTAAATTATTATATATATATTTATATATATGTGCATGTATATATAAAAGTTTGCAATGAGTCAGTCGTTGATCAGTCAAGTTACTCCCGAGAATGAGAACACTCCGAATATAATAACGCAACCTTCAGAAACAAAGCGTTCTATTTCTACAAAGTTAGAAGGTAACGTGCGTCTGTCTAAATTTTTTTTTTACGAATGAATTTAATTCTATAAAAAAAATATGCGTTAAAAATAATAATAATAAATTAATTATGTAATTAATATGTAAATATTATTAATAAGCTATATACTAATTCCGAGAAAAAATTAAAATTAGAGGAATAACAATACAAGATAATTTATTTAAATTCACTAATATATTAATTGATTACTTGTATAGATTCTACAATTCGATCTACAACACCTTCAAAAACCATACCAAATACAACTACTACGACAACCCTTGCTAATAGTACAAACACAAATAATAATAATACACCTTCAACTATTATTACCAACACTACAGCAACTCCTAAGTCAACATCTAATAATAATTCAAAAATTGCACGTTCTCAACGTTCAATTTTTTCTTTGATTTTTTGTTGTACGTGGAGTTCTAATAACATTATAATAAATCCTAATAATAATAATAACAATAACAATAATAGTCATCATATTAATACTATAAATACTAATACTAATATTAACAATAATACTAATAATGATAATGTTAATGATGATAAGGTAGAATGTAAAGAAAATATTATTAATGCATCTAACAAAAATATTGACAATGACAAGAATAAGACTATCACAAATACGACATCCGAAACTAATAATAATAAAAATGTTATTACAAAAATTAGTAATAATAGTCTTAATAATAATAGTGACAATAATAACAATGAAAAAATAAAAATTAGTCAAGATAATAAAAATAACATTGATAATAGTAACATTAATAGTAATAACAATAGCAGTAATAATAGTAGTAACGTTACTGATAACATTATTTCTAGTGTTGACAGTAGTAATAATAGTGGCAATAATAACGATGATAATGAGGGCAATATCAATGCACCAGATTCAGTAGAGGCTCGAAAAATAGAGGTAGGTATTAATCAAAAAAGCCCAATAATAATTATTATTATTATTGCATTTAGATTTAATTATGATTATTATTAGATAAAATAAGATTTTAATTTTTTTATTATGAATTTTAGGCTGGGCAAAAATGGTTACTTGAACCAATAGGCACTGAACACACAGGTAAAAAATGTTTAGTACTGGATTTGGATGAAACATTAGTACACAGTTCATTCAAGGTAATAATGGTGACGATAATAGATAATCAAGATGACTATTATTAACGTTATAGAAAATTAATTAATAATTAATTAATTATTATTATTATTAGATGAT